GCGAAAGGCTTAGGAGCACAGGTCTGGGCAATTATTGTTGATGAATACACCCACACAGACCGATAGAAAATAGGGCTAGCCCCCCCTACCGCCTCCCCTCCAACCCCCTGCTCCCCCAACCCCTTTCCGGCACGCAAAGTGTAGCTTTTCTTTTTTGGAGAATAATGGAAAACCGCCCCTCCTTCCTGTGCATGGAACACAATAATTTGTTATCTGTCCGCTCAGAGATCCTCTCACTTTCGAGGCCTAAGAGCAGTCTATAAATCACAAAAAACCGAAAAATATCCATCTATGCGTGGGCTAGCAAATCGTTTTGTGCGCCGGCGAAAAGATAATTAAGACATTATGGCATATCTTGGCATGCACAAATAACAATGGGAAACCTCGCCTAATGTGGTGGCATTTCATAAATAATGATTAGAAATTAAATGGGCTCCGAGCGGCGCAGGAAGCAGCTCCATTTACCAACAAACAAATTGTGAAACTAACGAACCAAATAGGAGGAAATCAATATTAGATTAGATTTGCCCCGGCAGGAAGATATTTAAAAATATGTGTTTGTCGGAATAAAAGCCTCAATGAGCAGGATCTAAATTAATTTGAGTTGTTTGCGAAATAAATTATCTTTTTGTAGGAGGAAATTTACTAAATTTTAGCTATTAATGCTTCAGATGGTATTCCTATGAAATAAGGATACGTTTTCAGCACAAAACTAATGTATAATTTAGAAGGCTAATCACATTGGCACAAAAAGTTGAAAAACTATCAAATATACGAAAATCAAATTGCTTCTTGTATATAGTTTTCAGAAAGAAAAGTGAACCTTGATTAAAGTCAGCCTTCGAAATATTTATAAAGCAAACCTTGGTTAATTAAACTTGTGTGTTATTAATGGGAAATGTTTAATTGTTGTTTTGGTTCTCTTAAAACATGTTTCACTAATAATTCACGCTTGTGCGAACTAAAACTTTAATACCGGCAGAAACACTATAAATCTAATGGAAAAACTAATTTGCCAGCGTGGAGTGAAATGTAAGGGGAATTTCAGCGCCAGCGACAGATGCTGTATACAAATTTGTTAATTTCGCTCGCGCTAATTTGCTGTAACTAATTAAAAAACACTTTAAATGAAATATCTCGCAGTCGCATAAATATGCCAAATTGTGAGGAGAGCGCCGACAGAGATACACGGCGAAACCAAATCTAATTAATGTGCGAAACAAACGGGCGGGAAATTTATTTAGCGCTTTCGCGCAAGGCAAAGGACACCTGGCCCCGTTGATTGTCCTGCCTCTTCATTTTCCTCCTGGCGGCAATAATTGCGTACATTTTTCACAAACAGACAACAACAAGTGGGGAAAACTTGGAGTGCCTTCAAGTGCCGGCAATCTGGGTCCTGTGTGTTTTGTCTGCCTGTCTTTCTGTGAGATGATTTGATTCGGCTGCGTGTATTTCTGAAGCATCAGCATCTCTCTATATATAATATATAGAGATATATATACAGATATAGAGTACCGTACTATTGCTATGGCTTTGGGCCAGCTCTGTACCTTTCTCACTCATGTGTCTAACTGTCTGTTTGCTTATCTGTTTGTTTGTTTGTTTGTTTGTTTGCTCGTCCTTGGCGCTTGTTTGCGCGTGTTGTTTGAATTGAATTTGTTGCCCTTTGACGTGAATTGGATTGCTGACAGGCGGGATTTATGGGCCAAGCTGCAAAGATGTTTTAAAATGGCAAATCAATGCGGTCAAGTCGTAAATGCGTGATTGAATTTACTGGCTATTTATAAGTAGTGAAGTGAAAGGGTTCGTTGGCAGTGCATTCGACTGTTTAATTAAATCCATGCTTAATCTTTTGAAAGGTACTTTAGGTAGTTGTAAGTGGCAAATGATTAAATGATTAATTACTCTACTTATTAAATGAGTCGGTCTGATGATGGTTTGTCGTACTTTGAGTGCAACTTTTATTAATATATTTACTTGAAAGGGTTTTTATTATGTATTTAATGGGTTGCAATGAGCACCTTTATATGTAGAAATAATTCCCTAGGTAATTCTGTAACCCCTCGAAATACTTCATATCCAATTGCAATTACTTCATTTGGTCTTTGTATTGATTTTCGCCTTTCCAACTGACGATGGCCTATCCTACTTTTAATACAACTTTGCTTTATTTCAGTCAATCGTATCTAATAACATATTTTAAACACCTTTATAGGTAATAATAAGCCATTAGGCATTTCTTTTAGCCCCTCGGGATATATCATATTCGATTAACCTCACTTTTATTGTTATTTCTGTATTGATTTCCTGAATTTCCATTTGGTGTGCACTTATTTTCAGAGCCATGTCCGAAGCGAGATCGATACACCTGCACGCACCTGTCGCCGGAGCGTGGTAATGCTAATAAATTCAGCGCGGCGCGGCCATTGGTTTAATTAAAGAACCGTCAGCGCCGGACTCCGCGGAGGGTCCTCCAACAAGCTGAAGAGGTGAAAGTGAGGTTGCAGGTGAAAGTGAGAGGTGAGAGGTAAAGGGAGAGTGGAGAGTGAGGAGGATAGGGGCATTGTTCGAGCAGAAGGACACTCGCCAATCTGTGGACGCGCCTACGTTCGCCGCGGCCCAATCGGGCCACTGGCGGCTATCTGCTGACGGGCACAAGTGCGCCCCGTGACGATGAGTTCGTCGCAGGACGACGGCACCTCCAGCAGGATCAGGGCAAGGACAAGGAGCAGCAGCAGAATCAGAAGTTGGGGCGACGGAACTACGATGAGTGTTTAATTAATGTGACGGACTTTAGTGATATTCGTACAAGTGACGAGGCGGGCGAGGCGGTTACCAAAAGCATCACCGAGTTGCGAGTGCCGACCATAACGACCACAAACATCAGCAACAGCAGCAGCAACATCTACAGCAACAGCAACAGCAGCAACAGCAACATCAACAGCAGCAATACGAACAACAGCAGCAACAGCAACACAAACAACAACAACAACAACAACAATAGCAACAACATGTCGCGCATTATACAACCACGTTATCGCTTTCGAGATCTTCTACTGGGCGATTTCTCATTCAACGATGATGGCGAAAGGTAAGTGAATTTGTTTTGTCCATTACATTGACATTGCGCATACGCCCCATTGACCGTGCAGCTGTTACCATGTCAGCATTTGGCCCACGGGGCGGTCCAAAAATAGATACTTAATTACGCTCACCAACTGCAATTGGCAAAATGATTTTCCCCATGCTTTATGGCGCTTACCTGGCGATCGATTAATCGATTTTCCTTAATGGGTGGGGATAACGCTGATGTCCTGTCTTCTGAATTATTCAAGCGAAGGTTTAAAGCTCGTTACGCTAATCGAAGTTCAAGAAAAGGAAAAGCAGTTGACACTTAGCACCGGGGAATACTTGAAAAGGTCAATAAATTAGTTTGGGAATTTTGTGATTTACAAACTAGGGAAACGACATTTATTTATGGTTTATTCTTTAACATAATAATCGGTTAATACTTTTGTTATTACAATTAAAAAAGGGAAACGTATTCAGTAAAAAGGGTAAATTTAAAAATGTACAGAATTTATTTTAAACAAAAAAGAACTGCAAAAAAAATTAAATTTAAAAAAACTTATGGAAATTCAAATGTTCTTAACAAACATTTTTGTGATTTAAAGTGGGTTATTTAAACACAAAATATTTTTATTTACGGTCTCTGGATTAAAAACGGAAGCGGATTATTCCGAAAGTTCATATAAAATTGTTTTAGATTTAAGGCAAACAAACGCTGCAGTTTTTTTTCAACCAGCTACCTTCACCCCTATGCAATTGTTTCCCAAAAAAAAATCAAGTATCCCACATGAAAACCTGTCTAAAAAGGAGAACCCCTAAAACCAATCAATATCCGCAGCTTTTGCCATTCTGTTTGAGTGCCAATTCAGCACCGCGAAAATTACAAAAAACCAAAGTGGATTCACTGCAGCGAAAGAGTGGCGAATAATTTGATTAAGCTATTGTTTGTTTTAACTGCTAAAACCAAAACCCATATCGCCATTTCACAATTCCACCGCTTTAATGAAATGATTTTGATTATCTTGATGGGTTTTTAATAATTCAGTTGTACCGAAAAGCGTTGTGGCATTGGAAAAGTTAATTTAGTTGTATTGCAATGATTGGTCAGCACACATCTTCTATAATTTTCGTGACTCTCTGCTGCATTCCAATGGGATTGAATGCCAAGGAAAAGGTGTGTGATATTTGATATTTAAAAAACTTAAAATATATACAATCGACATTACTTGCAGGGATTCTTATCAAAGGCCACGATTTTAAACATGGAAATAAAATATGAAAAGAAATATCTGGGATACATAGGGTTGGCTCCTGGGGAAACTCAGTTGCTAATGGTGAATATAACGAAAGTGGTCAATCGTGTCTTCATGGATAGTCGCATTCACAACGTTGAATCTAACAGAACCCTTTATAGTGTCAAAAAATTTGACATATGTAAATTTTTAAATAATCGCTTTCTCTCAACACTTTACTCTATGCTTTACGAAAGTTTTGTGGGCAACTCCACGGTTTTTAAGTGTCCAATTAAGCCAGGTATCTACTATCTAAGGAATAACCTGAGTGAATTCGAAGTTCCCCTATTTCATCCAACTGGAAAGTTTCGTTTAAATGTGGCTGTAAGGCCTAACAATGATGTAAACTATTGTGCAGAGTTCACTTGGCATTATCGTGTTTCCCGTTAATAAATTCTCGTTAATTTGAATATTGAATGTATAAAACCTATTCTTAATTAACGGAGAAGAAAATACAAGCTGCAAATAAATTTTCCATTAAAACTTGAATAAATAACGGCGCATATAATGGCTAAATTTTGATAACAGTTTATGTACGCGTTTCTCAATAATGAATGGTTAAAATGCCACAATTAATAGCTCATTTGTTGGCTGAAGACTTAACTAAAGTGGAACATGGCTTGTTGGTTCAGTCCCAAAATGGTATTTAGTTTAGGTAGATGGATATTCCTTATATGGATAGGTGCCATCGCTTTTGCCGCTGATCAGGAGGTAGAACTGTGAAACATTATCCAAAATTGTTCTTAGTTTGTGGAAATCCCATAGCAACCGCCGGTTTTCAAAAGAGGAGGCTCGAATTTCATCATGGAATCTGTGGCAACCAGCTGTGATCACGATTTTGTGGAGTATTTTCGAAAAGTGCCTGGCACAAAGGATATAATAACCTTTCGCGTGGTGAAACTGGCCAAAGCCTTCACCATCGACATTGCTGTGAGGGTCCTGAAAACGAAGAGAGTTATGTACAGGGTGGACAAAATAGATGGTTGTCAATTCCTCAGCAATCCGCTGATGAATCGCGTCTTCGGATCGGTCTACAAGCGACTCATTGTGAATGGTTCCTTCAGTTGCCCAATAAAGCCGGCGGTTTATTACATCAGGAACGAAGGATCTGTGGCCATGTTGCCCACTTTCCATCCTCCGGGAAGATATCAGATCACCATGCGCGTCAGGATGCATGAAAGCAGAGCTCCTTTTGTAATGGAGATGCTTTGGATATACAATGTAGTTAAAATAAAGTAAAGTATTCTGTTAACTTCAAGTTCAGATTAACTTGTTTGGGTTCAGGTTTCTTATATAGGGATCATGAGGGAATCACCTGGCAAGTTTCGTTTTTCCGAGCATAAATTACCTTTACCCTTAGAATTAAACGATAAAAACGTTTCTTTAACCAACGAAAAAGTTAGTATGACCTGAACTTGACATTCTTTTCAAACGAATAATCAGTAATCAGCATATAATCAGTAACATTTGGTAACATAATATGTACTCGATTCTCATTAATTAGAAACTGAAAAGCCACAATTAATTGCTCATTTGGAGGCTGAAGACTATAATAAAGTGAAATATGGTTTGTTGGCTTAGTCCCAAAATGAATTTTAGTTTCGATAGATGTTTATTTTTGATGTGGATAGGTGCCGTCGTTATTGCTGGCGATCAGGAGGTAGAAATATTTGATGATATATATATATATGCTTACTTTTTGGATATACCATTTAAACCGCAGGTTTTCAAAAGAGGAGATACAAACTTTATCTTGGAAAAAATAGAAGTCAGATGTGACCACAATTTTGTGGACAATTTTCAAAAAGTTCCCGGCAAAGAGGATATTATAAGCTTCCAAGTGGTGAAACTAGCGAAAACCTTTACTATGGATTTGGTTGTGAGAGTTCTGAAAACCAAGAGAATAATGTATAAGTTGGACAACTTGGACGGCTGTAAATTCCTGATAAATCCCCTGATGAACCGAGCCTTTGGATCCATCTACAAGCGGCTTTTGGTAAATGGTTCCTTTCATTGCCCGATAAGGCCGGGAGTGTATTTCATAAGAAACAGAGGTTCTGTGGGTCTGTTGCCCATTTTTCAGCCGCCTGGAAGATATCAAGTCACCACGCATATCAATACCCAGGGGAGTGGAGCTCCTTTTGTGATGGAGATGGTTTGGATATACAATGTTGTTCGAATTAAGTGAAGTATTCTGTTAAATTGAAATTTAGTTTGATTCGTTGGCACCGAAAGACTTTTGTGTTCAGAAGCAAATCAAAAGATTTTTTTCACCTTACAGTTGACCCAAAAGCTTATTTAATTATATATTTACTAAACTTACTATTTATAGTCAATAATATTCATGTGTGTAAATGTTTTGTTTTATATTATATATTTTCAGAAAAATATAATTACCTTTTTAATACCCTTCATGTTAAATATTAAAGTTTGAGTTTTACATTAACAAATTTACACAAGTCTTGTATTCTCGTATCATAGAATTAAATCTTTGTTTTACTTAGATTGTTTTTTACTTAAAAAACAGTCTAGACACAAATGTATTTTTTTTTACTGATTTTGCTATTAAGTAATTTTCCAGCTGAATGATTGGGCTCGTGGTCAATTAATAGCTCATCAGATGAAAAATTGTCGACAAAATCAAAACATTTAGTCAGTGTATAATCCATAGAGACGTACGCTTACAGCGTTGATACTGTTTTTGTCTATGGATATGTTGTATTATCTGTATACTGAGAAGAGGAGGTATTTATGGTTAGCGTTTATAAATCTTTCATAAATAATTAAATTAAATATAAAATATTTCCCTAGTCGATTTTCTTTCAAAGAGGCAATACAGAGTTCCTTTAGAATCGCTGATCACGATTATGTTGAGTATTTTTGACCACTTTTCGAGTGGTCAAGTTCGCAGCCGATCTTACCATTGATTTCCTGTGGAAAGCAGATGCTTATGATTAATTGAACTAAATTATGTGTTCTTGGATAGTCGCATTCTGCATCGAATGTCGAACTTTTATTATCATATTATCTACGAGTTCCTTACTTATTAATGGCTAAAATGGCACAATTAATAGCTCATTTGTGGGCTGAAGTTTAAACTAAACTGTGATATAATTTGTTGGGTCAGTCCCAAAATGATTTTTAGTTCAAATGGATGGATATTTCTCATATGGATAGGTGCCGTCGCGTTTGCTGCTAATAAAGAGGTACAAATATTTAAATATATATAGTGTAAATGCTAATTTTTCGATATACCTTAGCAACAGCAGGTTTTCAAAAGAGGAGGTTCGAATTTTATCTTGGAAAAACTAGTAACAAGCTGTGACCGCAATTTTGTGGAGTACTTCCGAAAAGTTCCCGGAAGGGAGGATATTATAACCTTTCGGGTGGTAAAGCTAGCAAAAACTTTTACCATCGACTTAGCTGTGAGGGTCATGAAAACCAAGAGAATCATGTTCAAAGTGGATAACTTTGATGGTTGTAAATTCCTGAGCAATCCCCTGATGAATCGAGCTTTTGGATCGGTCTACAAGCGGTTCCTTTTGAATGGTTCTTTTAGTTGTCCGATAAAGCCTGGGGTGTATTACCTCAGGAACGAGGGATCTGAGCTCCTGTTGCCCGTTTTCCAGCCGCCTGGAAGATATCAAATTACCACGCGCATCAGGATGCGCGAAAGTCGGGATCCTTTCGTGATGGAGATGCTTTGGATTTACAATGTGGTTAGAATAAAGTGAAGCTTTCTGTTGAATTAGCAATTGGTTTGATTTCTTTGGACTAAAAAAATGAAATTCTCAAGTCTTGGTATTTTGGTATAATTGTATAGAAAAAGTTTAATATTTATGAATTTACTAAACAACTTAACTTTGCTTTATTATAATATAAACATGTCCTTTTAATACTTTTTTACTTTTTTAACATCTGCTATTTAAGCATTTAAAGCTTCATGAATTGCAAGAGAACATTTAATTTGTTTCTTTTTAAATATAAAACGTCTGTGTTTTTATTTTATTTTACCGGTTTAGTTATTAAGTAATTTTCCAGCTGAATAATTGGGCTTCTGGTCAATTAATAGCTCATCTGATGAAAAACTTTCTGGAAATCGAAACATTTAGTCAGTTGTTTTAATATGGCTTTCAACGTTTATACTGTTTTTTGTCTATGGATATATTGCATTATTATCGTAGTTGCAAAAGAGAAGGTATTGTTTGCGTTAAATTTCTTTTTGTAAATAGTTGATTAATGCTTTTTCTTAGCCGAATGTCTTTAAAAGAGGCGGTACAGAGTTCATCCAAGAAGCTCTCGAAACAAGATGTGATCACGATTATGTGGAGTATTTTCAAAAGGCTCCAAATTCTACGTCCCTATATACTTTTCGAGTGGTTAAGTTGGCAGCCAAGTTTACCATTGATATATCAGTGAAAGTTATAAAGACACAGAGAATAATGTACAACATGGAGAAATTAAATGGCTGCGACTTTCTTAACAACCCCGCGCTCGCAAAAACCTTTGCGAAATCTTACAATATTTTAGTTGTCAACGGAAGTTACTTTAAATGCCCCATTAAGCCAAAGGTTTACTATCTTAAAACGGATGGAATAATGCAGCTGATGCCAAACATTCATCCACCAGGACGATTTCAATTGTCGATGAGGACAAAAATGGCTGAAAGTAGAAAGCCGTTTGTAATGGAAATGTTACTGAAATATCAAATAAATAAATAAAGAAATAAATACAGAAAACTTGCAACTATTCTTTTTTTTACTGCCCACATTTCAATATGTAGGAAATTACTTTTAAACAGTTTTCCTATTAATGTTCTTAAATGGTTTCCCTTTAATTGGCTAGATTGACAAAATCGGATTTTATAACCTATAATTACTTAAAAGTATTAAACTCGGACATTTAATTTTTGAGTGGATAAACCTTTCAGGCAATTCGTTTTTTTCTCATTTGCGTTTTTATGTAATCTACCACCGTTGATTGGACATGTGGTCAATTAATTGGCAATCAAAAAAATTTGGCAATGGCAAAATTATGTTATTTGGTCAGTTGTGGCCTTATGGCTTTCATCGCGTGTACTGTTTTTTATCTATGGATATATTGTACACACATTGTAGTAGCAAAAGAGAAGGTAGGTTTTTTTGCATTAAAAACTAAATTTAATAATTAAGATAAAAATAATTGATAACTCAGCCGATTGTCTTTCAAAACGGCAATACAAAGTTTATCCAAGAATCATTTAAAACAGGATGTGATCACGATTTTGTGGAGTATTTTCGAAAGGTTCCGAATTCCACGTCTCTTCATACTTTCCGAGTGGTAAAATTGGCCGCCGACTTTACAATTGATATTACAATAAAAGTAATGAAAACGCAGAGAATAATGTACAAGATGGAGAAATTTAAGGGCTGCGACTTTCTTAACAACCCCATGCTTACCAAAATATTTGGCGAGGCTTACAATAGTTTGGTGGTTAATGGAAGTCACTTTAAGTGCCCCATAAAGCCGAATGTTTACTATATCAAAACGGATAAAATGCTGCAGATGATACCAAACATTCATCCTCCTGGACGATTTCAGTTGTCGGTGCGGATAAAAATGGCTGAGAATAAAAAGCCATTCGTAATGGAAATTCTTCTAAGATACCAAATTGTGCGTATTAAATAAACAATTTATATCCCAATAATTATGTGAATAATGACAAAAATTACAATTAAAGTACCAAACGCAGTCTTAATTTTTTTTACTTTATAACAAATTTATAAAATGTTTCTGAAAAAATGAATTTTTTTATCTGGTTGTGTAAAAAAGTAATCTACCACCGATGATTGAACTTGCGGTCAATTCATTGGCAATCAGTTAAATTGTGGCTGGCTTAATTGTATAATTTTGTCAGTTCTGACTCGATGGCTTTTAGTGGTCGTTCTCTTCCCCTCTTTATTATTTTGCATACTCTATGCAGTATAAAAAGAACGGATATAAAGAGTTTTGAGTAATACAAATATTCTAAAACGTATTTAAATTCCTTCAGCCAAATGTTTTTAAGAAGCAACATTAAGTTCATTCTTGAATCCCTGGAGACAAATTGTGACCATAATTACGTGAAGTTCTTTCACAAAGTTCCCAACTCCAGACTGCTATATACTTTTCGAGTTGTCAAATTGGCGTCTGCTTTTACCATCGACATTTCGGTAAAAGTGCTGAGAACGCAGAGAATTTTTTACAAAAGGGAAAATTTTAGGGGTTGCGACTTTCTTAACAATTCCGCTGTTGTTCAAAGTGTTGGGCGAATCCTACAATCACCTGGTGGTCAATGGCAGTTACTTCAAGTGTCCCATTAAGCCGAAAGTTTACTCTCTGAAGAACGAGGCCACTGTGCCCATAATTCCCAGCGTTCATCCACCTGGACGCTTTCAGCTGAGAACGCGTATAAAAATGGCAGAAAGTCGAGGACCATTCGTTATGGAAATGTTGTGGAAATAAAAAATTTACTTCACTTTTCCATGACGAATCTACAGTAGTTTTTACTTGTATGTAATTAATTGTTAAATCCTATTTCGAGGTAAAAAAAATTACCACTTAAAATATTTTAAAAATCAATTCTGGATGATGAACATTTTTACAATCATAAAGCAAAGTCAATGTATGGCCTAAATTTTGATTTTCTCTTTAGAAATAAAATTAAGTAATGTAGCTGAAATTCAGTAGTCATTATTAAATATCTGTGCGTGATTAGTTATCCGATTAATAGGCTCATCAGTCGGATTTTTATTGACGAATGAAAATTATATAGTCATTTTTGCTTCAATGGCTTTTAGAAGTGGTTCAGTTTTCGCTCTCTGGATATTTTGCATACTTTCTATAGTGGCAAAGGGCGAGGTACTTTCAAGTTTCGAATAACAGATCTGTTTTAATTAAAAACATTAAATCTCTGTAGAGAGAAGTCTATTTTAAAGGCAACAGAAAGCTCATTGTTGAGTCCCTCGAAACCAATTGCGATCACGATTATGTGGAGTACTTCCAAAAGGTCACCAACTCGAGCCAACATATCCACACATTCCGAGTGACAAAATTGGTATCTGCTTTTAGCATTGATGTCATGGAAAAGGTAAAAAAAACCCATAGGATCTTTTACAAAACCAAAATAAGTCGGGGCTGCGATTTTATAAACAATCCAATGCCGTACAAAGTATTTGGCGAAAGCTTCAAGAAAATGGCGGTAAATGGAAGTTTTATAAAATGTCCAGTAAAGCCGAAGATTTACTATATAAATACCGAAGGACCAACATCGGTAATACCCTCCGTCCATTCACCTGGAAGCTTTCAACTTAGAATGCGGATTAAAGTGCCGGAAAGTTCTCGACCATTTGCTATGGAAATGTTGTGGAAGTTCAAAATTGTTTATGTCTAATAAAAATTTTTGAATAATTCGCTATATAAAATTTGAATTTTTAATTGCTGTTACTTGTTGTTAGTGGACCTTTACTAATTTTTAACCTTCTTAGGGACATTTTGGTTGGTTCACCGTCTTGGGTTTCACAGGTAGTTCTCATTTTTATATCTTCCTGTTTAACACACTTTCTTATTCCCAATCAAAGATCTGTTTTAATTAAGTACCTACTTTAATTTTGTATGTATTAAGCAATTTGTTTGTAATTAAATAGTCATTATAATATAATAGTTGCTCATCAATCGGATTTTTAATGATGAATGAGAATCATATAGTCATTTGTGGCTCAATGGCTTTTAGAGTTGGTTCAGTTTTCGCGCTCTGGTTATTTTGCATACTCTCTGTATTTGCAAAAGATGAGGTATTTATTAAGTTTCTAATTACAGACCAGTTTTATTTACATTTCTTAAATCTCTGCAGAGAGCTGTCTTATTCAAAGGGAACAAAAAGATTATTCTTGAGTCCCTGGAAACAAATTGCGATCATGATTACATGGAGTACTTCCATAAGGTCCCAAATTCTAGCCAACATATCCATACTTTCCGAGTGACAAAACTGGTTTCTGCTTTTAGCATCGATCTCATAGAGAAGGTAACAAAAACACAGAGACTCTATTACAAAACCAAAATCAATGGGGGCTGCGATTTTATAAACAATCCGATGCTGTACAAATTATTTGGAGAAAGCTTCCAAAGAATGGCGGTGAATAGTAGTTTATTAAGGTGTCCAATTAATCCGGGGGTTTATTATATGAGAATCGATTCCCCGTCATCGATTACTCCCTCTATCCATTCACCTGGAAGATTTCAGTTCTTGGTACGGACAAAAGCTACGAATAGTTCTCAACCATTCTTTCTAGAAATGTTGTGGAAGTACAAAATTGTTTATATCAAATAAAAAAATTGCATACGTCTTTGTGTAAAATATGTTTAGTCGGAATTTTTTTGAATATGTATTTGTAAGTTTAATAGTACTTAACCTTCACATTCAGTTCTATAATATCTCACAAGAATAATTGTGGTTTTGGTCAATTAATAGCTCATCAATAACATTGCGGCTCTGCAAACCAAATAATTTTGTCAGTTGAGCGTCATGGCTTCCAGTGTTTGTTCTCTTTTTTATTTCTGCATATTTTGCATACTTTCTGTAGCAGCAAAGAGTGAGGTATTTTTAAATTCTTTATTACATATATTTTTTAATTAAATACTTTAAATCTCTGCAGAGAGCTGTCTTTTTTAAAGACAACAGAAAGCTTATTGTGGAGTCCCTTGAGACAAATTGCGATCACGATTATGTGGAGTACTTCCAAAAGGCAACCAATTCGAGCCAAAATATACACACTTTCCGAGTGACAAAATTGGTTTCTGCTTTTAGCATCGATGTCGTAGAAAAGGTAACAAAAACACAGAGACTCTTTTATAAAACCAAAATTAGTGGGGGCTGCGATTTCATAAACCATCCGATGCTGTACAAATTATTAGGCGAAAGCTATCGCAAAATGACAGTAAATGGAAGTTTTATAAAATGTCCAGTAAAGCCGCAGATTTACTATTTAAAAACCGATGGCCCATCATCGATAACTCCCAGAATCCATTCGCCTGGACGCTTTCAGCTTACAATACGGGTTAAAGTGCCGGAAAGTTCTCAACCATTCGCTTTGGAAATGTTGTGGAAGTACAAAATTGTTTTTGTCAAATAAAGAAATTGAAAGAACTCTATGTGAAAAATTAGCTTATTTGTTCTAAAAAATGGGTCGCCAACGTTTCCTTAGTTGTCTTTCCTATTATTGAACCTGATTCAATTAAATAATTTGATTTTCTGCAGAATTTTGCCTCACTTCACCTGGACGTTTTTAACTTTTGGTTCAGGAAAAGTTACAGATAGTTCTCAACCATTATTTCTAGAAATGTTGTGGAAGTACAAAGTTGTTTATGCGAAACAAAAAAAAATTACATATTTCGTTGGGGCATTGTTTTTTAGTCTGGATTTGTTTTGCATATATGTATGAATAATCTTTGTTTTGAAGTACTAAATTCGCATTAAGTTCAATACAATCTCAATAACGTAATCAAGTAATCTCGCTTCAATAATTGTGGTTTTGGTCAATTAATAGCTCATCAATAACGACGCGGCTTTGCAAATGAATAATTTTGGTCAGTTGAGCGTCATGGCTTCGAGTGTTGGTTTTCTTTTTTATTTCTGCCTGGTTTGCATACTGTCGGTGGTAGCAAAAGATGAGGTACAACCAAACTTCAGATATCAGATTCATTTTAATTAAAAGTTTTCATTCCCGAAGCCAATGATTTTCCACAAGGGCAACATAGAGTTTATCCTGGAATCCCTTCAAACGAGTTGTGATCACGATTATGTGGAGTATTTCCACAAAGTTCCCAACACAAAGCTTCTCTACACCTTTCGAGTTGTTAAATTGGCGCCTACCTTCACCTTCGACGTCACAGTGAAAGTGTTAAAAACACAGCGAATATTCTACAAGATGGAAAACGTCAACGGCTGCGACTTTCTCAACAATCCGGTGCTTTTCAAGATTTTCGGCGAAACCTACAAACATCTGGTGGTCAATGGCAGTTACTTTAAGTGTCCCATCAAACCGAAAGTTTACTATCTGAAAAATGAGGGAACCGTGTCCTTAATTCCTAGTATGCATCCACCTGGTCGCTTTCAGCTTTCGATGCGAGTGAAAATGGCTGAAAGTCGACGGCCGTTCGTCATGGAAATGTTGTGGAAGTACAAAATTGTGCGCATCAAATAAAGGCATTTGCATTTCGGGTTGCCCAAGTTGCTCATACGCCGTGTAGTTGGCTGTCATTACCTAATAAGTTCCGCACTCCAGTTGGTTGGGTTATGGGTTATGTTATAGGGTATTACAGCCCAACGTGCGTTGCTCATACGCCGCGTAGTTCGCACTCACTCCCAAAGGAGCCATAAGGCGACGGCGTCGGCACTCGCAAAATCATAATTCGCCGGCAATGCCTTCTTTGCATTTAATGTAGCGTAAACATTTTAATTTTTTATAAGCCCAGTCGCCATTTCGGGCCGGGTTCCTGGCTCTTGGTTCTTGGCTCTTTCGGGCCTTCCCTGCTCAGCTGACTGCGACGTGCGCAAGTGGCCGTGGCTGTTGCCTTTATAATGCCACGTAGCCAGAACCACTTGGCCCGGCCCAATGGCACATGGCCCATGGCTCACAAGCTCCGAGGGTTTCGGGGGTTTCGGGGGTTCAGGGGTTCGGTGGCTCAGGAGCTCCAGGGTTTGGGGGTTTTCCAGTGTGTCACGGATGCCTGGGCCCGGGATTCCCTACCTGAAATCGGTTATAAACGGTTTAGCAAGCTACGGCTGTTGTTGGATTGCACCCCGATGCTCCGGGTTATTACACATACACAGCCACAAACACACACACACATACAGGATGCGATCCTGAGCCCTAAGAGCTTTCGCCTCTGTGCCACAAAATCCACAAAGAGGAAAGCATATGCGCAAATTTATTTACTGGTCGTAGACTCGACTCGATGACGGATTCAATTTGGCGTTTTATTAAGTTTTGCTAACTCATGCTGAGTTCTGAGAGCGAATGTTTTCATTATGTTTCAGTATTTGAAAAATAAAGTGTGTTTAAAAAATACGTTTGTAATATATTTTTGAAGATTTATAAATATATAAAAGAAATATTTTCAATATATGTTTTAAGTAGGCTTAAGAAGCAAAAAATATTGTTGCATTCTTTTTGTAATATTTTTAAAATCTAGGTAATTGAATATATACTTTTTGAACACAATTTTTAACTTAAAAATTAAAATATTTTTGAAATTTTAAATGGATAAAACACAAATTTAGCTTATTAAGTGTGTAATCAAAAAATACTTTCACATGTTTTTGTCCTATATACAAATACTTAAATGGCAAGTTATCGGGATATTTCTATTTTCTAAATTCGGTAAGAGTGTATCATTATTCGGTTCTTAGGTTTTATTAGCATCCCATATTCCCATTGCTTTCCCAAAGAATACCTTTTTGATATTGGCTTAAAGGCTTTGTAACACTGTGTGTACCTTTTCGGCGAAACCCTTTTTTATGTGAAATATTTAATAAGTACGCGGAAATAACGCTTTTGTTTTGTGAACGTTGACGACGAACGCGGCAAGATCATGATTTATGGGTCCTTAAATACAACACTTTTATGGCCCAATCCGACCTTTAAGTCACGGTCCAACCCGAGAATATTTAATTGCCACTCCAAATGGCTGTGGAATTCGTGATTTTAATGGCCACACGTTCGAGCGCAGCAAGTTGGCAATTTGTTGTTGGTCCTCGTTAACAGATGAAATTGTCCGCATTCCGGGGACAAAATACAACATTTCCGACCGGCTAATAAAGGTCAGAGTTCGGGCCACTTGACGCTACCCCATATATATGGTAGTACAACAATCCACTTTGGCTTCATTAGCAAACAAATTCCCGAACAACATTTTTTGGCTGTGCGCACTTGAAATGATTTGGAAAATGCGCACACAATTTTTCATTGCGTAACATGAGGAAAATGTTCAATTAAACCAAGAAGGGCCCTTTGTTTACCTTCTCCGTAAAAAGGGTTTCCGCCCAAAGACTTTCTCATTATATCTAAGTGGCGAAATGCCCAAAAGAAAAAACTTGGTGGCAAAAACAACAAAAACAACAAGAACAACAAAAACAACAAGGAACGCCCTCAAGAAGTTTCGGAAAAATAAACGACTAAATCAAGGGTAGAAGCATTTTTTTCAGGCTGCGTAATGGCAAATTACTTGTTTTTCGCACGTTTAACACAATTTTTCCGCAAGAAAAGAAAAATCTGTGCACCTGATAGCCGGGAACCTGGGTTGACTTGTTTTTCCGCAACTAAAGTGCAGCTTTAGCCTTCGTGAAAATTCTTCAACGCGTCCATTAGTGCTGATTATGCGGCTCTCGTACAAGGAAAAATAATAAGGGCCTGTTTGTGAAGTACAATTTCAGACTTTTCCATTTACAGTCGTTCATCTCTCGGACACATTCCTCGCGTGAGCCGACACACTTTTGCGGTCTGCCGTACTAACTTATGTAAATCGCTTCCTTCTCAGCCGGTTTTTCATTTTCCACCAGCAGTCAACTGCAGCAGGGCCTGCAAATTATTATTATTCTACTTGGTACTAATAAATTCTAAAGCATACCCTTTTATAAAGTAATCATTTTACCTGTATGTGGTGCATCCTTTATGGATACTTATGGATACAAGCCAATTTTTGTTTTTCCGAAACAAAACGTTTCAAATCAAAATATAATTTAACAAAAATGATTTTTAACGTTCGTAAACTATCACTATTTTCACTTGTGTACCTATATAAATAAACCTAACATTGTTAAACTGTTTCTAATTTATATAAACGCTGATTAAATTATTAGGTTGAAAAAACCTATAATTTTATGGTATATTTTTTCAAACTGGAATATTTTGAATGAGGAAGAAATAGTCTGCAATTCGTGCTTTGTGAATATGAAAAGTATGGATATTAAAACCTAGATATGAATTTAGTTTTTCGGAATTAGATTTTATTTTCATTTAATAATTATGAGCTCCTAGTTATATTCACTCTCTTTTCACGAAACTTTTGTATACTTAAAGGGTAATAACTAGTCGGATATCCTTCGTATATCCTCTCCTCATATTTGTTTAGCTCCACTTTATGAGTAGTCAGACAGGTGCTGGTCCCTAACATATCCCAACCGACCTGACGTTAATCCTCGAGTTGCTGACGAGGGAGGTTGCCTGCCTTGATCCAGGCGCCTATAATTATAATAGCATTTTGTATAACGCACCCACAGGCTGTTGCCATTCCGCTCTCAATAATGGATACTCGTATGTCTCGGGCGATTGGAACATGCCTCAACCGAAGGTCCTTGGAGGTCCTCATGTCGCTTTAATGTTTGCAAAATGGTGTGCATTATGCATGCGGTTCTATATTTAGATCCCTTGCTGTTCCGCTATTAAGCCTGGCATTGTGTTCCAACCTGTCGGTATCAGAGATTTAGTCTGATGAGTAAATATACTAGAAGCCTTAAGGGTTTCCGCTTCGAAGCAGAAGCCAAAAACTATTGAGTTTCTATTTTTCTTAGCGAATAACAAGTGCAATGATGCATATAAATAGGGTTTTAAAAAAGGAAAGTATATTCAAGGCATATTGTTTCTTTTAAAATAATTAGTTCTTGAAATATATAATATATGTTATATTTATAATATCAAATATTAAAATCCTACTCCTTATTTTGTAAGTCGCATGATTTATAATACCAAATTATAATAAATAATTTCACTTGTTTATTTTAAACCTACTTTTAAACATGTTTTCCTTTAAAGCATACACGATTTTATTTGTTTTTGATAAAATATGTATTTGGCAAAAAGGCAGACAAAGCGGCTATTCTAAGTGCTTGGGCTTCCAACTTTGGCAACGTCATTGGCTATTTTTACACCTGGCAACAAAAAAGCAAATGAATGAAAGAAAGGCCGCACTTGATGGGAGGTGAACCCTCACATTTTCGCACCGTGCCGAAGGGCAAAAGAGCAATATAAACAGCGATTGTGTTCATCAATGAATGAACACTCGTAAATAAATAATTATGTGTTCCGCAACTATAGGCGGTGGCCCAGGATCGATGGAGGTCAGCCAAGGCGAAAACCGAGTCGAACAATTGCGATGGCATCCGAAGTGCAGCCGTTTTATTACCACTTTTGTGTCGAAAAGTAAAAGAGCCCAAAACGAGTGTGGGGCTCTTGTTGGGGAGAGGAGGGAAGGGGCGGGGCTTTAAGGGGCGGTTCGAGGAGTTCTACCCAAAAGAAAAGTTCCAAAATCAATCAACGTGCGAAAAAGGCAATTTGTGGCTACCAGTGAGAGGTAAAGCATCAGAAGCCAGCGAACGAAGCTCAAGTTTAAAGTGCCTTCTTTTTACAAGACGAACTCTTTTATACCCTTAAAAAATATTCAAGTAAATTTATAAAATGATTTTGATGTATATTATTATAGATGGTATTTAAATAGAATAAATATGTATGCTTTTTGTAATCGCAGTAATTATTTATAATTTTTAAGATTTTAAAAAAGTTAAAAAACAAAGATTAATCAAATAATTAATTAATCAAAATTTAGAAATTCAGGACTTAAAGAATATATGTCATCTAATACAGGTATAATTTCTTATAATTATATCTGAACCTTTTTAATTAACCCCTTTAATGTTATTATTTATTTATAGTATGACTTTCACCTTTTTATAATCTTGAAGTAATTAGTTTAAAAGTGTTTGGCCAAATCAACTTGGTCCTGACGTCATAGAGAGTATGGTCATGCCTGAAAATTCTATTATAAGTAAAGTTTCCTCGTTGCTTCCTGTGTGATGTGTCTGTGTGGGTGTATAGGTGTCTGTGTCTGGTCCTTGACTGTATTTGTGAGTGTGTGCGAGTGTGGGTGGTGTGCGTGTATTTTTTTTTTGTGTTGACATTTTTTTTTGTTCCGGCAAATGTGGCGTAAAACATGAGCAACGCTTGACTTTTAAGGATTTGTCCAGGACGTCGGTCAGGTTTTTTCCTCTCTTTCTTTTTTTTCTAACAAAATAAATATTTTAGCTCGCCTGTTGGTCAATGATGCATTTAATAGCGTTCGCTTGAGCAAATTCTCGCTTTTTCGGATTTCCACGCTGTTTGCCAGTGACAATGAACAATAAAGAATTTTTCAATTTCCTGCGAAAATA